GGAAGTTTTTCGGCACTCTACGAAGAGAAGTCCTCTTGGTTTACTATTCCCTTGCAGAGATTGAGGGCTGGGTGAGTTGGTTTTCGGAATTTTGTCACTTTGCTCATCGGTGCGTACTTTGAATAGAAAGGTACAATTTCTTTGTCGCAACACCGCTTGGAGCTTCCCAAAAACATCCTCTAGGGCTCGCAAGACGAACAGCACATATATTTTTAAAGGTTTTTCTTTCCTCAGCGAATGCCATTACGAAGAAACGCGGGTCTTTTTCGTTTGTCATCAGATGTGACAAAAAATCTGTTCAGTCAGTTCTTTATGGACTTTCCCTCTTCTTTGCGAAAGAACACGACGGGCGATTAAGGCTTCATATAAAGGAGCTTGGTTCGTCTCCGAGCTCCCCACCCACTACGGAGTCCAACAAGGGAACATCCCACTGAAGTGCCAGGGTTGACACGGAGATATATTGGGGGGATGTCACAGTGCTGCCCCGCCGTGGAACCTCCGCTCACCCTGAGTTCAGTACAAGACCTAGTCCTAGCCGGTTGATCACAGGTCGGTTAGCCTCTGGCTGCCCGTCTAGAAGAGGCAGTGGCCAATGTAAGTGTATTGGGGCACGCAGTACAGACTTCCCGTCAGTCACCAGGATTCACCAGAGTTCGCACAGCGAACGCAGCTAAATAATCTACGTACTGGTTTCCGGCGTCACGGTGTCATTCGGGTAAGTATGCACAGACCCCTCAACTCCCAGGTCACCCATTCCCTCCGGCACGGGTACCCATGCACGGCAAACACGTGGGTGGGCGTTCAGCAGACAGAGGCCTGTGAGGAACAAAAAAAAGGTGATAAAGCAGTGAGAGTGAGATATGAATTGAAGAACAAGAGAACATAAGAAAGAGGAAAGGAATACATGAGAGCCTTTGCCGCATTTCCCTGTCAGAAGTGGACCGATCCCCTTCGACTGACAATTGAAATGGGTGTGAAGCCAACAGGCTGGCTGCGTCCAACAGAATGAGATTGTAGTTCTCAGTAACTGTTTGAACAATTTCCCTTCAGAGATTTTTGAGAGGAGCCACAAAGGGAAGTATGGGCTTTGAAGCCTCTAACAATGAGAAATGGTGGCGGTAGTTGAGAAATTAAATTAGTGAAGCCTTCTTTGCAAATAGAAAGGGATGGAAGAATAACAGACCAAGATTGTACTCAACCTTAATTTCCTGTAACAGGGATCATCATCAGAATTAAATCTAAAACTGTGAAAACATTTGAGGGATGTCTGTGTAAAAGATGTGTTTCCTATAAACACACAACACAGAAAGTGGACTTTGACAACTTCTTTATGAGTCCCTCTCTTCCAACCATGTTACTAGAAATTGGTTTCTTTGTAATCAAAACTCAGAGAGAAAACAAGTCATCAGACAAATGTTGAAAGAAATGGGTAACGAAAATAAAGGTAAATTTGATTACAGAATGGTATTTGCCGGGTGTTTATTTTATCTTTCGCCGAAGATGACGCGCCGCTTGCCTCAGCAATCGAGCTATTGGTTCTCCGGGGACTTTTCAACAAGGGGCCCGTTCATCTGGTGCGTTCGTCGTTCGGCGCGACCGGCCGACACACCAGTGTCCCGAGAGCATTCAACTGATCATCATGAACTTTTCTTAGAAACAGACAGTATTTCTTTACGACACCTTCGTTCGACTGAAGTCTGCCAGTAAGTGCCGTAAGAGGTTTATTAACGAATTTACGGGCATGAGTATTCCATATCGATGGAATTTTAATTGACAAACAAAAGTGTCGAAAGCGCCATGTCCTGATGGAGGAGAAGGTGAACGAAATCTCTGTTAGATTACAACAATCTCCAAGAAAAACTTGAGGCGTCTCGCACAACAGCCACGAGCTCAGCCAGAACAGCCATTAAATCTTTAAAGCTCCGGCCATACAAGACCACTGTTATGCGTTGTACCCTCGTGATTCAGAAGCCCGAGTTCGCTTTGAGGAATATTTTTTGCGGAGCGTATATAACGGTGATCTTGATCCTGCTTTGACGTTTTTTCTGCTGATTAAGCGTGGTTTCATCTGAGTGGATACGTCAACAGCCAAAACAACCGCTATTGGAGTGCAGAAAACCCTCACCTACTTAACGAAGAACCATTTCACGACATTCCAAGAATTATAGGGCCTATTTTTTCACCACCACCGTTACTGCTGATGTTTACATACATCACATATTGACATTATTCTTCGAACAATTTCGGCCACACCAGGACACCAGGAGAAAGGCTCTATGGTTACTTTCAATAGAATTCGGCAACTGCTCACACTGCTGTTCGATCCATGAACTTTTTAGATGATGTTTATAATGACGATCGAATAATTATTCGTGGGTTATGGGCTCCTAGAACACCTGATCTGTATCCCTGTGACTTCTTCCGTTGGGGGTACTTGAATGATAAGGTGTATACAGAAAACTCGTACTCGGAGGAAGAGCTCCGGCACTCTATTGAAGAGACAATCGCAGCAACTTCTCGAGACTTACATCAAACTCACTATATAAATCAGAATGTGTTCCGGAGGTGCCAAGAATGTATTCGTCCGAAGGACACCACTTTCAGTATCTTTTTTAAGGTAAGGTAAGCGGTGCAGTGATAGTGTTGTCAGCGATGTCAGCACGGGAGTTGGGTCAGCGTTTTGCTGGGCGAATGAACCGTTGATTGCCTGGGCGGCGCGGCCCGAATTTTCGGCGAACGATAAAATAAACACTCTGTATAATGAGATTTTCATTGTTATATGGCATTGAAATACAATTGACAAGGAAGATTTACATACCAGCAGCAAAACATTTTAAGTCATATTTATTAAAGGAAAAGGTAAAGGTATCCCTGTGCCGTTGCACACTGGTCGAATTGTGGCCCACAGGGGAGATGAAGGTAGGGCTCCATCTATTCGTCGCTGTCGGCACACGGAAGAGGTTGTGTGGCGAGCACAACGCTCTGGCCGCCGTTACCCCCAGGAAAGGTCCTGGTACTCACTTGGAAAGGAGGGTGAGTCGACCTCAGAGCCGCCCTGACAGGAAATCACCAGATAACAAACCTAACCTATGTCGGGATTCGATAGGTCCCTCAGGTTAGGAAGCCAGTGCCCTACTGCTGAGCCACCGTGGCTCCTAGAGTGATTAAATGTTCGATGTAATATTATTCTTCGTATAAGAGAGGGAAATATGAAAATTTTGGACCCTGGTGATACATCTGGGACCCAAAATTGAAAGTTAGGAAACTATAGCAAGAAGAGCATCGTAGGCTTTCACGGCCATAGTCAATAGAGGATAAATTTTCTGGGCTGGTAGGCTGTGGTCCACTCTAGCCCTTCAAAGCCAACTGGACCACGACCAACCAGCCCGAAAACTTTTTCTACAGCAAGAAGAGTCGATAAAAAGCTTTCTGAGTTGATCATTTAATTATACACAATAATAAGAATGAAAGCCGACATTAGTTGAACAAATGTAAATATTTCTTGAAAAAGTAGCCTATACTCTTTCTTTCTGGAAAACTTTGAATGTTACATATGTTCTATCCCATTAACCCAAAAATTACAAATTTTGTTAAAAACTATTTTTTTATGCTTTGGAGACAAATATTTAACTAAAGTTTATGAAATAAGTTATTTCAATTCTTGGGTTAATTAATGATAATTTGGGCCCGGATATTTGGGAGGGATTTTATAAATGTCATTTTATGCTTTTTGAAGTTGATTTAGTCCATTTTACATTTTTATAATGTTTTATAAGCCTTTGAGTATCAGGCTGAACAATAATTGCAATAAGTAACATTTTAATTACTAAATCACTTTTTCAAAGTTTTTACTACTGAACTCTTCTTAAGAAGCACATAAAATGTAAGAACAATTTTTAACTTCTTAAATCTTTCCTTAAAAATTATCACCCCAGCCACAACTTACTTCTCAGATGTGCTTTTACAATGAACAATCACACAAGAAATCCCAAAATATTTAATGTGAAGGACTTCCAAATGTCTTTCAATGCATGCTTGAAACGAGAAAAGGTTTGCTCAACAGAACATGAAATCAATGCTGCATTCTTCATACTGCACACTGTCCCCAATATAACTCTCCAGATATTTCATCTCCTAGAAAAACTCCATTTGCATCTTTCATATTTGTGTAACCATGATTATATACAATTTTTGAAAGCTTTGAGGAGAACACATTACCTACAGTCCCTGGTAATTCCTTCTGTGAAACAGTGTAAATGATGTTCATTACTTTGTTTACTGAAGACTTACACCTTCTAAGTCAGCAAGAATATATGCTGAGTCCAGGCTACCATAAAAGATATGATCAACTGAAATGTGTTCCTAAAGCCAAGTTTGCATTTATTTAAGGCATTCTGATTTAGCCCTTGTTTAACAATTTTATTTTATTTTATTATTTATTTATTTATTTATTTATTTATTTATTTATTTATTTATTTATTTATTTATTTAATTTTTGTGTCAACACATTTTAACCATTTTAAGGTTAGATAGGATTTTTGTATTTGGCTCAGAAATGATTGAAACAGATATTATGTTATGCATTAAGAATGACATTAAGAAGTGAGGAACATAGTAGGTTAAAACCTAAGAAACCGGGCCCAATTAATAATATTTAGAGGAACCTGATGGTACTGAAAATGTAGTTATGAAATGACTCATCCTATAACATTTTCACTTGCTCATTTTACTGGGTTACATTGTATAAAAAATAGGTGACATGGCATTTAATTGTCAGAATAACAGAGATATTAATGTAAAATAGGTACATGAGAATTGACAGGGTAAAGCAAACCAAATGTTATTTAAAATAGATAATCTTTTGAGCTTGATGTAGTTTTATTATGGTGTGCAGAAGAACACCTCGTAGATATGACTAGATCAATTTAATTTTTCTCTAGAAAAATAAACAAGAAAGCTAAATGACATTGTTATTTATATGGATCTGTGCAAGTACAAACCATCATACTGTTGGTGTCTTCCATGCAAGAGTTGAAGTAATACTGTCTGTGTAGCTGGAACTATAATAATAGAACCATCTTCCCTACCCACAACCAATCTATTTTGCTGTGAGAGATAGATGCTAGCTGTCAATTTCACACCAGGAAGATCCCCAGAATCCTGTAAATTATATAAATGAGGGTGATATTGGTTTTTGATTTTGTGATGAAACAAAGCCAATTAACTTCCCACATACAAATATTTCACAATAAAATACTCTGTAGTACTAAAGTATGAAAGTGAAAGAAAGAAAAGAAAAAAATGTACATGATAACTCACCAACTGATCTAGAATACCAACAGGAGGTGGTTTCATGTCAGCCCAAGCTTTGGTTAAGCTAGTAGTTACCATAGGAGGCATGCCTAAAACAATTCAATACAAGTATCTATATATTTATGATGAAATTATCATAGGATAATTATCTAACAATGTGACAATGTTTTTGAAGTAAGGTCAACAAAACAGTGATTTTCTCTAGATAACATCTTATCAGCTTATTAAGTTCTGTTACATCATTAAGTGCTCATAATGTAATTTTGTTAACCTTTTTTTTATATTATCTCTAATTGGGAGAATCTGGAATTTAAAATTTTTGTTTGAAATTCAACCATTGAAGAGGTGAGACAATTATAACCTCACCATACCAACTCTCATAAACCTAGAATTCCTTCACGTGGTATGGTAATAACTTCAACCAAATTTTCCAGAAAATAATTGTTTACGATGTAGTCTGTGAACCAAAATGAAGTTAATTTGCATATTTTAAAAAGAGGTAAAGGGATACGGTGCAACATCACATGTTGAAACACTGATACAATTAGTCCTCACCCTTACAGACAATATAATCAAAAATAAATATTGGCCATTTACTATTGCTGGATGGGTGAACAGTGGAGTAGTGAACATAAGAGTAAGCAGATTGATAGTGCATCAAGCACAAAATCAAGTGACAGAAATATTTCAGAGGAACAATAACCGTAAGAAAGGAAATGCAAGATGAAGTCTCTTAAATGATTTAAATGACACAGAAGTGATGTTGATCATACCAGGAGGTCTAGCAAATTCTTCTTGACGGAGTTGGGCTAACTGCGAACTAGACACATCAGGAACCGCCCAAGCTAACACTTGACCTTCACTGTCTCCTCTTAATAGATATTTTAGGAAACGACCACCACGAGATACAAGGTGAAAGCGCATAGCTGGTGGACATGACAGTGGCTGAAATCATAAACACACATTTTAGAGATGAAATACTGCTATAAAAACATGACGATGGCATAACTTGTGATGCTATAACAGTACATACTTTCTCAAATTATTTTTAACTTCTGTAATTTTCGAAAATTTAGAAAGTACAATGATTGGTGACATGCACCTCTTTTAAAAGTGCCTTTTGCTCTATCTATGGAAAAAATTAATAAATTGCATTCACTTCAAGCATGAACTGGGCAAAAGCCACCCTTATTTAAAATCACAGAGTTTGTCAAGAATTGTGGCAACAGTTTTTTTACCATCCTTGGTTCTTTCTGAAGAAAAAATGTAAAGAAAATATTTTGAACAATTTTGGGGAAAATAATTATTTAAAAATTGTCTACTCAACCGCTTGTCATTTCAGGCAAAATTACGCTCAAAATACTCTTATTTTCGGAAAATTGTACATGACCCGATTTAAAGACGTAGTTTTCAACAAATGATTTCATTTGATGTATTGACGATAGAGAAAATGAAAAGATAATCTCTATATACAATATTGTAGTTGTAGGAAGCCGGAAGTAGGAAGACGCCGAAAAACGTTTGAAGTTTTGTAATTTTCGAAAATTCAAAATATTACAGGACGTGCGCCATAATTGAGGCGTCCATCCTGCAATCCGAGTACTAGTACTAGTTCAATAAAAAAAATTGAGATCAAATTTTGAGAAAATTTTGAAGTGTTTCACTTTCATATACAGAACACCCAATTACGAAATAATTCGTTTCAAACTCGCAGGGCCTATAGTTCGTTCAGATCGATCGGAGAATACTAATTTTGGAAAAAATTGTTTAGACGCTATGTTGACCGCAGACGGACAGACGTATTGCCGTCAATCGATTTTTGGGTATCAAGGACCCACAAAACCTGGATTCGGAATATACAATGTGTTACAGGAAATAATTAACTACATATAAGAACAAGATTTGGCCACTTTTTCGTTACTTGGGGTTGACAAAGCAGGTTTTTCCATCGAAAATTCGTCTACTTCAGACGAAGCATTATAATACTATATCTTTACTACACAAGTACGAAGTAAGAAGAGAAGATTAACATTTATGAATAGATTTTTTAAATTCAGGTCAAAAAATCCTCAAATTAAAGACGCCTATTTTGAAAAACATAAAATGAAAACAAAAGGATAATTTACTAAAATACATTAGGTAAATTACTAAAACAAGTAATCAAAAATACTTGGGGAGGAGAATAATTATAAGATTAATGATATGTAAAATTATAGCTTCACTCATTTCATCAATTTCCATCTTTCACTCTTTGCAAATTTGTACTCAAATTGTGGCCAATATTTCTCACCAAGATTAATTATTACATTCACCACACATAAAAAGGAATGAAGGTTCTAAATCTAACAGCACTTGCTTGTTTTCTGATCCAAAGGACTAGGGTTTTGCCACCTTATTCTCCTTTTCAATACCTCTTGCATGCATGACTTTTGCATAGGGATCGCTTACAGAAGGATAAATTGCCCCCTCCCCCTGAATTTTGAGCTTTGCTGATTATGTAAAACATTGACATAAATAAGAAAATAAAATGTTGCAAAAGGGCATTCCCCTTCTATTCTGGGAAATTACCTGCAAATATTACTTGCAAGCAACATACCCATCTTATTTTTTTTATTTATCATCAAAAAACAGTAAAAACTGTGCTGCATGGAGAAGTGTCCATGTCAAGGGGTCATGAGAAGTGTTGGTGCATAGGATTCTTGATTTACAATATGGAATCAAATAATAATAATAATAATAATAATAATAATAATAATAATTTGGTGGTCCTGAAATACTGTGATTGTTTGACCTTAAAATTTAGAAACTTTTTGTAAAAATTGTTCTTAATGAAGAAAGCATATTTTCTAGTAACACAAATAATAACAAGAACAGCACACAATGCTGATTCATGTCCATCAATTCTCAGTACTATCAGCACATTAAAATACATACAAATAATGTTCTCAACTTTGAAAAACTTTATAATGTAAAATAAAAAAAATGCATGTGTTATGTTAGTGTACAACACAAGCAAAGTCTTTTCTGCAGCTATACAGAATAAGAAAACTACTGACTTTTGCAACCAAATTTTCATAACTTGCATCACTAAATTAAAATTTGTAGATTATTGTTATTAGAGCAACTAAGTTTTGTTCAGTTAAAAAAATAATAAAAAACAACAACTATTAAATGTTTTTAACACCTGTAACTTTTTAAAGATCTTTAGCAAGGATTTTTAAATCAGTTTCTCTGTAATTCATTAAGTAACTACTAAGAGAATGCAATGTTGTTTCTCTGGTTGGACAGTCCATTAACATGTTTCATGTAGAATTTACTGTGATAATAAACACAAAGTATATTTAAAATATTTTTCAACAACTTGGCATCATGGTGACATGGTATAATACAATAAATAAAATATGAATTATTCTTATCTTTCCACATTTCATATGAGAAAAGGCAATAGTATTATCTTCTTACCTTGTCTCCTGGTACAGACAAAACACAATACAAGAATGGATTGTCTGTCTCTACAGAACGTGTGTGGAAGTCTCTGTTGTCAGCAACACTACTGTAACAACATAAAACTCCAGATGACATACAGTTATTCAAACATATTCTTGATATTACAGTAACACTTTTGTGTCCTTGGCAGATTATCAAACACTCATAAGCAGAGTGCTTTTAAAATAAGTTAACAATCACATAAAAATTTACATTACATATAACAAGCAATGCAAACAATTATTTTGTTTGTAATACATGAAAATTACTATTAAGGAAGAACAAGTTTGTCAAAAAACAAAAAATTAATTTCGGGCACAGGAATATATTAATTATCAGTCTTAAATAAAAAAAATAATGCATTGTGAAGGCATAACTGAAAATTGAGCAGGTGCAAAACAGCAACACGTATTGCAATGTTTCATTTAATATTGAACATATACTTAACTATCAATATTTTTGGAAATTAACACAAATGTGTTACAGGAGACAAAACTGTCTGACAAGTATTGTTTTTATTCATTAGCTAATTTATGATCCATGAAATTTCCAGTGAAGTAATATAATATAGCACTTTCATATTAACAAAACATTATATTTAACTTTTTTCTACTGATATGGAATTTAGTTTTTGTAAAAGCACTGCCACAGTGAAAGGCATAAACGACACAAAAAACAACTTCACTTTAATGTTTTAATGAAAAATTAAACATTTTTTGTTTTAAGTATAACTAATTTTTTGTTATATTTCTACTTACAATAGCTACAAATCACTAAATGCTAGTTTTACATGTAATTTTAAAAGTACTTTTACAGCAAATTTTCAAATTTGAATGAATGTAAAATCTCTGAAAAGTTTCACTATTAAGAATTCATTTTATGCTCACATTCTGGAAACATTTATTCTTCAAATTCTAAATTACAGACACATAGCATTGCTTCAAATGCGTAAAGTTAAAAGTGTTGTTGTCAAATTTCATGTACAAGTACCTTTTCCCCGTCATTTACCAGTACCATATGAAGAAAAGTTTTATAATTTACTTTTCAATAGAATTTCAAGATAACATGCATTCATGTTAATTATAACAATCCTTTATTAATACAATGCAAATATATATATATATATATATA